GGCTCCATATCCATTCTGGGGAGCAGCAGTCCGGTTCCTATTCCCCCGGCAAGTCAAAAGAAGATACATCAGTTACTCACGCATGCTCCTCGCCATTATGGTTGGGAGGCCCGAGTAGACAGCATTGATGACTTCCCTTGGGAAGGATGTACCGCCCCTCGCCCCTGCCTAAGTTAGCCTGAGAAAGTATCAAGTGGCTAGCCCCTACTCTAAACTCTGCCTGATCGTCCGACCGTCCGATGAGTTGGGTCCCTAGCTGCAGACCACCTCCCCCTCTGGCGGGCAGCGGGCCCCACACCTTACGACGTCAACCCCTGGGATACCCCCCAGGGGGGGGTGCGCCAAATGGGGCCATCTTCCGGCTAGAAAGCTGGTCCACAACTTCGCCTGCCAATTCTCTGGTGAAGGATGAAAGCCGGGGCCCTGCTCCTCTACTCGAGCGTCCCATTGTTATTAACCCCCCCTTGGTGCTCCCCGTGCCGGCCCGACCAATTGAGGCAGAGCCTGTTTCCTTGCAGGGTGCCTATTCACCCGTTCCCGAGCAGCCGAACGGCGAATCCCTGCCGGATCTGAGATGCTTTATCCCGCCACCTCGCCATCTGTCGTCTGGCTCGTCTCCAGTCCTCCCAGTACTCAGCGTCTACCAGGGTCAAGAAGTGATCCCACATCTGCTGCACAGGCTGTCGTTTTCGTTGGAATGTCACCGTGCATCGCCTTTTCCAGATGATCCACAGGGCCAACTGACGCAACCTTTGAAACAGTGTACTCTGGTCCGCCTCGCATCCCCTTCTCCCTTGTGTAGGGAGGATACGGGGCACTCTGGTTGGGAAGAGGGTATCAGTGAGGGCCTGCCACCAAGCAGCCACCCTATCCCATATTTGCTCTGCCTCCGGGCAGGTGAGTAAGCAGTGTGTCATGTCTTCCACCTGACCAACATTGCACACGACGCATAGGTCAGATGGGGCTGTCCTTGTTCCGTTCAGCCGTACGTTTAGTGAGCCACTGTCTAACAGGAAGGGCGACGTGAGCGATTAGCCACTGCATGCTGCACACCCGGGTATTCCGTATTGCAAGGAAAGCCTTCCATGGTGTGGCCTACAGAGCGTCGAGATCAATATGCCCACATGGCTGCTTGGTGGCAGGCCCTCACTGATAAATGGATAGTTTTTCTCTTTTCTTTTTAAAAGTTTTTTTTTAACAAAAGAGCAAATGAATAATTGCTACAGAGCTAGAACAGCAGTTTTCATGAGCTGAGGTGAGGCAGGCAATTGGGAGAAGGAGTTGATTGGTTTGATCTAACTTTGTCATTATTTGAATTTATTTCTGTCAATGTCACAGTGATGTAAGTTGCGTGTGCGTGTTTGGAAACTGGTCGTTCTGTTCACGTGTAGGCCTCGTCCTTTTTTTTTGTCCTTTTTTTTTTAAACGAAGTTTTCTAAGAGTGCTGTTTGCTTGTAGGCTGATAAGAAAGTTGCGACTGTTGTGTACATTTGCTTTCTCCATGAATTGCATGTGTCATGGCGGATAATAATGATTCCATTTCAACGCTGGTCTTGAACGCTGGGCATGAGCAGCTCCATGGTTCACCGTATGCCGACAGGTCGCCGTTGTGTGGTAAGTGTATTGTTCTCTTAGCTCATTTCATGGCCTGCAAGCCTGTGTCCTCTGATCTCTCTCCTCTCTCCTTCCCATGAATGTGTGACGGATCGCAGAGGTCCTGTGTTTTCCTAAAGCGTAGAGAGCAAAACGCTGGGGAGAGTGGGAAGGGGGGCATTTTGATGATTAACATCGTAACGACAAACAGGTCGGAGGTCCCGACTGCAAAACAGCTGCTGTAAACGTCAAATACGGCGCAGTTCCAACAGCAAAGTAGAGCTGTACACAGGCCAGATTTAGAATCCGACCATCCGGAACGATTCCGATGTATATCAATGCAAGAAAACAAGAGGAGTCGCGGGCAGCCAAGAAAGGAAGAAGGCAAGGGCAGAGAAGAAAAGGAGGGAGGGAGGAGCAGATACGAAAATAATAAAAAGGGAGGGGAAGGGAAGACAAGAAAAGGAGGAGGGAGGGGCAGAGAAGAAAAGCTGGGAGGGGGAAGAAAGAAGGGAGCGATAGGGGCGTCGTTAATTGTTCAAGAAAGTCTGAGAAGTGTTTTTGGTCACCATTTGTTAAGGGGAATGTTTCCTTCGCTAGTGGCAGGGTTGGCAAGATTTGCGGGCTCCTGTTTCTTGGGGTTGCAGACTATGTATGCGAAACTCCAGGTCATTTTGTTAGAACTTAGAAAAAGAAACTATATTCCATTGCCTATAAGTCAAATGCCAGGGTTTTCTGAAAGAGGCCGCAAAGGCACAGAAGGAGAACAAGCAGAGGAACACACACTGCAGAAGAACTAGAAGCAGCACAGCCAGCAAGAGGAGAAGCAGCAAAACCTATGAAGGTGATTGTAGGGAAAGTGCAATGGAGGAGGAGGGAGGGAGGAAGAAGTGCTTGCATTTTGCATTTCAGGAGTGAGAAAAGAGGCAGCGAAGGCATAGAAGAAGAAGGACAAGCAGAGGAACACACACAGGCTGGGCAGAAGGACTAGAAGCAGCACAGAAAGCAATAGGAGAATCAGCTAAACCTATGAAGGTGATTGTAGGGAAAGTGCAAGGCAGGAGGAAGAAGAAGTGCCTGCATTTTGCATTTCCGGAGTGAGAAAAGAGGCAGCAAAGGCACAGAAGAAAAAGAACAAGCAGAGGAACACATGCTGGGCAGAAGGACTAGAAGCAGTGCAGACAGCAAGAGGAGCAGCAGCAAAACCTATGAAGGTGATTGTAGGGAAAGTGAAAGGCAGGAGGAAGGAAGGGAGGAAGAAGTGCCTGCAGCGAAGGCGCAGAAGAAGGAGAACAAGCGGAGGAACACAGACGGCAAGAGGAGAAGCAGCAAAACCTATGAAGGTGATTGTAGGGAAAGTGAAAGGCAGGGGGAAGGGAGGGAGGAAGAAGTGCCTGCATTTTGCATTTCAGGAGAGAGGAGAGCTGGACAGGAGAGGGACGGTCTAGGGAAATGTCTGTCTCTTATACACATCTAGATGTGTATAAGAGACAGCTATGAAGGTGATTGTAGGGAAAGTGAAAGGCAGGAGGAAGGAAGGGAGGAAGAAGTGCCTGCAGCGAAGGCGCAGAAGAAGGAGAACAAGCGGAGGAACACAGACGGCAAGAGGAGAAGCAGCAAAACCTATGAAGGTGATTGTAGGGAAAGTGAAAGGCAGGGGGAAGGGAGGGAGGAAGAAGTGCCTGCATTTTGCATTTCAGGAGAGAGGAGAGCTGGACAGGAGAGGGACGGTCTAGGGAAATGTAGAGAGTTTCCTCCCGACTTGAATCTGTGAGATGCTCGTGGTCTCTATGGCATTGAATTTGCAGACAAAGAAACAAAAAGAGGAGCACACACGCACACTTCATGCAGAGGTAGAATAGCACATTATGTGAGGCTTTACTCATGTGGAGAACACAATGTGCAACAAAAAGCCGTAGCATCCAACTGGACGCTTCAGCATCGCCCTTCTTCCTCATCCACTCATGTATTTCAGCAGTTTGCGGGTGTACCAAGTGAGCTAGGCCCCTTGCTTTACGATGTCCTATCTTATCTACTTGAGTGTTGCGATATTCATTTATAATTATATATATCACATTATATTATTTTATGTATATATTATATATTATATCAGGGCTGGGCCGGCAACCGGCCGGTGGAGCTGACCCGGTCCAACCGGGGCCGGACCGGGCCAGAGGGGGTCAACCAGCAAACCGGATGGCCCAAAAAAATGGCCAAAATTTTTTTATTTTTATTTTTTTTTCGCGGGATCCGACTGCGCTTGACGAGATCTGTCGGAATCCGCAATAAAACTTTGAAGGTTGAATTCTTTTTTTTGGGGTGTGCCGGGAGGGGGGCGGGTCAAAGGGAGTTGAAGCAGCAATGAAATAACGGCGGAGGAGGAGAAGAAGAGGAGGAGGAGGAGGAGGAGGAGGTGGACGAAGAAAATGACGAAGAAGAGGGGAGAGAAGAAGAGGAGGAGGAGGAGGAGGAAGAA